AGAAAATAAATCTCGTCGAAAGGTGTCGTTTATTTTGCCTCTTCAGAAAAATGAGAATTATTTTCTGAAACGTTGTACCTCAGTAAAATCGTTTCCCCGTATTATTTTTCGAACGAGTCAGACGATAAGGGACGAATTTAATCGGGGTACGCTTGAGAGTGCGGAGGGAAGGTGATAAATCGACCGTCCAATTATTTTGGGATAACGTCGCACGGTGAAAGAGAGAGAAAGAGAGAAAGAGAGAAAGAGAGAGAGAGAGAGAGAGAGAGAGAGAGAGAGAGAGAGTGAAAAGACGATCACGAAACGAGACGACAAGGACTGATAGTCTTGAAAGTTGGCAGAAGGTGTTCAAGAAGAAGAAGAAGAAGAAGAAGAAGAAGAAGAGGTGAAGAAGGAGGAGGTGGAGGGGGAGGAGGTGGAGGAGGAGAAGGAGGAAGAAGAGAAGGAAAAGAAGAAGAAAGAGGAGAAGGAGAAGGATAACGTTAGAAGGTGATTTATCTTTGTTGCATAAATCTTGTTGCGTTTATTGCTACGACAGTGTATAATGTTACGAAACTGGTGATGGTACTCTCGTTTCAACGGCCGTTATCCTATTCTCCGATGTCTTCTCTCTCGAAAATCGTTATCGAGTGTAACGATCGTTTGTGCTTGCTCTTATCGTAAAAATCAGTTTTCGAAGGGCCAACTTGAAAGCAACTAAAGTATGTACGTACATTTGTATGTACGTATATATATATATCTATCTATCTATCTATCTATCTATCTATCTATCTATCTATCTACCTATCTACCTATATACCTATTAAATGTCGATGAACACAGTTGCCGACGTTTCGATTTCCTCAAAATATCTGAACGTTCAGATCTACGTTTCGAATTGGCTGATCGATTCATTTGATCGTTACCGAATGTCGTTCTTTGCTCATGGATGACATTGTAAAAATCTTTTTTCTAACGCTAAAGAGAAACGTCATTTATAAAAAAAAAAAAAAAAAGAAAATTACGATCGATAATGAAGAATTTTGAAGAATGGTCACGTTCGAAAAGCGTATCGTTGTTTGCGTTCAATCGTAATATAATATTTTTCTTTTTTTCTTTTTTTCGTCATTTTAATGAATACAATTAAAATTGAAACATTCGTGAGAAATTCGAAATAAGAGAAATATTTAACGTCGACAGATATTCTTTTCGTACGAAGAAAAAGAGAAAAATAATATTTTATCATTCTCGAGATCGACGATAGCAATTAATCGTCAAAATTAAAATATAAAAACAAATGATGACTATTAATTATAGATAATGAACAAGATCGTAATAATTATATAAATTCTATTCTCGCGAAATAATATGATCGGAGAGATATCATACGAACGTGCTAATAATTAAACCGTGGCCAATTAATTCCTAGAAAACCCTATGTACGTACGTGTATTGCCATGCGGGCAATGATATTCAACGAGGAAAGAAAAAAAAAAAAAGAAAAAAAAGAAAAAAGACAAAAAAAAAAAGAAAGAAAGATAGAAAAAAAAGCAAAAACAAAAATAAAAAAAAAAAAAAAAAAGAAAATAACGAAAAAAAAGTGAGAAAAGATGGGAAGCACGAATTTCCCTAGAGAATCGCTTTTTGATACGGACCGACGAGAGTAGCAGCGTGTGCTATTCGAATCGAGCGAAATGAAAATGGTATATATGTATATCTATAGATAGGTATGTAGGTAGTAGACTAGGTACCTACGTACGTACGTACGTACTAGGTACGTTTTGAACGACTCGGAAACGAAACGAAACGAAACGAAACGAAACGAAACGAGACGAAACGAGACGAAACGAAACGAAATGGGCGTGCGTAGATATAGGTGAAGCACACGCTTTTCGTGCTTCAGCCAGTCGCACCCTACACTACCACCCTTTCCCAACCTTACCCCTTATTCCCTACACCTACGTACTTCGCACTTTCCTATTTTCCACGTCTCCAACGCCGATATCCAATATCTGTAAACAATGCTCGGCATTTATTCGATCGTTTTGTTTGAACGATTCGTAACTCGCTCCCTCGTTCCCTCTTTGACGTCGAGGCTGAAGAAGAAAAAAAAAAAAAAGAAAAAAAGAAAAAAAGAAGACAAAAAAGGAAGGAAAAAGCGCGAAAAAAATTACAAAAAAGAAACAAAAAAAAAGAAACAAAAGAAGAACAAGAGGAGAATTAAATGAAAAAGCTACGTGGGAGAAAAAAAAAGGGAAGGGAGGGGAACTGAAAAAAAAAAAAAAAGAGAGGAGAAGAAATATTCTCGATGAAGAATGGCGTCAGCCGTGAGTTTTTTTTCCCCCCTATTAAATCCTTATTTCTCTCTCTCTTTTTTTTCTCTTTCTCTCTCTCTCTCTCTCTCTCTCTCTCGACGCGTTTTGAACACACAAACACACATACACACATGTGCGCTCGCCCGCGATGGACGTTCAAAATGAAACGAAAAAAAAGAAAAAAAAAAAAAAAAGAAATATTCATTCCTTTGGAGCGTCACTCGCACGCGATACTTTTAAATCATCCAGATGAGAAACGCCCTACAAATTACCTACCATCGAGACTAGCTCCACCTCATCGTAACTCGTTCGCTAGACAAGTTTATTGCTTCATTCGTAATTCCCTTATTACTTTTCTCTGACTTCCTTCTACGGATCTTTCGATATCGATGTAGTCGACAGTAAGAAAGAGAGAAAGAGAGAAAGAGAGAGAGAGAGAGAGAGAGAGAGAGAGAGAGAATTGTTGGAAGGAGCTTCTTCATACTTTTCATTGAAGTTTACAAGTAAGTCGTGCACATGAATATTTCATTTCGTTGCAATGAGAGAGCAATCGCTGAGGTTTGCAGTTGCTTGGATATTTTTAATCCCTTAAATTTAGTTTATTTTTGTGCTTAACTCTCTCTGTGTTACGATTTAGAATTGATAGATTCTTTAAAATTATGGATTATTTCTTGCTATTTTTTTTTTCTTTTTATAGTATATTCTCTCTCTCTCTCTCTTTGTCTCTTTCTCTCTCTGTCTCTCTCACTCTCTCTCTTTTTTCTTTCTTTCTCACTGCTTTGTCTCACTCTATAGAACATTGATTGTTTATTTATAGCCAACGTAATAATAGGATATTTAAAGTGAACAAATTTTTTAATTAAAGAATAAAAATTAAGACAGAAGAAAAATTGACATTACTTTATTTCTTGATACGTTAAACGACATATTAAATCCTTTTAAATTCCTAATAACTAACTTGTAAATATTTATTTTAAATATTAGTATATTAGCTTAATTGATGCATATGTATGTCAATGTAATTTATATTTTAAGATAATATTCTTGCTTTCTTTTTTTTTTTTTTTTTTTTTTTGGAAAATTTTATTATCAATGAAAAGTGATTTTAAGAAATTTATTTTTTATATGCATACTTATAAATAAAAGAAAAAAAAGGTGATAAAACGTTTGATTGGAAACATTGATGGTACTGGCGTATAAATTTTTCTTATCTTTTGTGTATTCCTCGTTTCTTCCTTTCTCTCTCTCTCTCTCTCTCTCTCTCTCTCCTCTCTCTCTTTCTGTCTGTCTATCTGTCTGTCTGTCTTTCTTTCTTTCTTTTTCTCTCTGCTTCTCTTCATGAATTACGATCAAAGCATTTCCAATGACAATGCGAAGAGAAAGCGATAATTGCTTAACAAAGGGTCCCCTCCGTTCGTTGCATTCGTTGCGGTGTGTGAAAGTCAATTCGTTTGATCGACAAATATTTAACGTTAGAATAATCGTGTTGAACTACGAATCCCGAAACGGTGGCCTCGATGTTTTGTTCCAAACTAATTACGCGACATTTTTTCGTCTAACAAAAAAAAAAATTCATTCTTTGCGATTCGTCATAAAATAACATCAAGCATGCAGATTTCTAATTGAAATTCATTCAAATTAAAATAATAATTTGTTAATCATTTATCATAGCTTGCGATTAAATAATGATTATTATAATATGTATATATATATATATATATATATATATATATATATTATATATATATATATATTATAATATATATTATTATAATATATATAATATATATATATATTAAAATAATAATTTGTTAATCATTTATCATAGCTTGCGATTAAATAATGATTATTATAATATATATATATATATATATATATATATATATTTTTTTTTTTTTCTTTATGAATGTAAAAGCAATAAATAAATCATATATAACAACGTGTATTACAAATGAAAAAAATTTTTTTTAAAAATGATTGGCAATATTTTAAATGTATACATTTTCGAAAGATATGCAAATCAGATGTTATTAAAATATTTTTCTACAAAATTTATGAGATACTTTATAACGTACATTCATAAATTTGATTTGCGAGGGAACTGTCACATTTGAACGATCGACGTATTACATTCATCTCGTTTCCGCTAATATTCGATTAATTATTCTACCGTATTGAATTACGTCAAAATCGACGCTGTAAATTTGATAGAAAAGCCCGACAGCGGTCCACGAGATTGTTACGTCGATAAAATCAGTCCAACGCGTTTGCTCTACGATCGTTTATTTGTCCCCTCTATAATAATCGAATCGTCTGAAAATCTTTGCACTATATTTAATTCAACGGAGAACGAATCGAGGTAGCAATAAATAATCCCTCTCATTTTTAATAATATTCCTTATCACATCGAGTCGTTATTTTTACATCAAAGAAGACATTAAAATTTAAAGAAAATCGATAAAGTGTACAATGATTTTTTTTCTTTTTCTTTTATCTTGTATTTTTTTGTTTTTTGTTTTTTTTCTTTTTTGTTTTTTGTTTACATGACAACGAATTCGTTCTACGAATACTCCAAAAATGAATTTGATTAAGTAATAAGACAAATAAAAAATTGTTATATACCGATCTTCCATTTTAATTTTCATTTTCAATTTTAATTGTCATTTCCAATCAAATCGTTCGTATAATTATCAACTTATAAGAACAGATATAAAAAAATATCGAAGAATCTTTTAAATTTTAATTTCTTATGTATACGAATATATATATATATATATATATATATATATATATAATATATCGAATAGATAATTTATCGAAAAACAAAACGATCGATCGATTTTAACAATCGTATTATATTCTTATAAACTTCGTAAACTTCGGTTAAAGATCGACGGATATACGAATTTTCAAATAGAAAGCGCAGGATCTCTTGGCGATAAAGTTTCGAAATAGCAACTATGTCGTCGACGTCGTTGAATTTTCGAGGAAACTAACCTTTCTTAGACAGCCGACAAAGTTGTTGATCCCTTTGGCACCTTGCAAAGATCTCGCATCAGCACCACCACCAACTAGAAGTCGATCGCTCGCTAGACGTGTGAACGATCCTGCGGTGTGTCCGTGTTCCGCATAAATTCCATCGACGATGGCCGAAAGCTGAAACGAGCGATTTGTTTTTTCTTGAATAAATAAATAAATAAATAAATAAATAAATAAATAAATAAATAAATAAATAAATGAATAAAAGAATGGAGAACAATAACGGGAAGAGAGATATGTTTCTTTTTGTTTCATGATGCCTCTTCGACGATTGACATTAGAATTAATAACGATTGGAATTGTGTTTTACGTTTCAAAAAAAAAAAAAAAAAAAAAAAAAGAAGAAAAAAGAAAAAAAAGGGAAAGGAAGGAAAGAAAAGAAAAGAAAAAAAAAACAAAAGAAATAAGAAAGAAATGTAATGAAGGTCGAAACGATCGAAATAATGAATGCAATACTTAGAAACAAGAGTGGCTCTTCTAAACCCGCTCCTTTAAAAGTCCGATAAGGTGAGAAAGGTAGTATAAAAAAGTGTAAGGAAAGGAAGAGTACTTATCCTTATACCTCGTCTAAGAGAGAGAGAGAGAGAGAGAGAGAGAGGGAGAAAGAGATCTTCTTGGTATCGGTGTTCCGTCTGCTTCTTCAAGAGAGGAACGCTCGACATCATATTTCCTTAAGTCCGATTTCCATGGCATCGAAATCCTCAGAGCGTCGTTCTTGAAGAAAAAACTACTTCTTTCTCTTCCTCTCTCTCTCTCTCTCTCTCTCTCTCTCTCTCTCTCTCTTTCTCTCTCTCTCTCCCTCTTTCTTTCTCTTTCTCTTCGACTCTTTTTCTATCTTATGCGTTACTTTTCCTACGTTAAAGTTTTAACAACGGAAGGAAAGTTTCGCAGTTCGAATCTCGGACGAATGTAAAGTGTATTTTTACGCTTCAAGAAAGAGAGCCAGTCTCAAGGACTCTATTCTACGATGATGATAATAATAAAGAGAGAAGAAGAAAGAAAGAAGAATAAGATAGAGATAGAGCGTACGAAAGAAAGAAAGAGAGAGAGAGAGAGAGAGAGAGAGAGAAAGAGAGATAGCTTATTATTTATTATTGAAATGAAACTAATTGTAAATGTGAGAAGATATTAATGCAATTTCTCGTAATATTATGCGTTACGTCGGATTAACGACATTTGTGGGAACGTACTCACTCTCTTTCTCTGTCTGTCTGTCTGTCTCTCTCTCTCTCTCTCTCTCTCTATTCATCTATCCATCTGACGTGCAAAGCTGGGGCCAGAACTTTTTAATTAAGCCAATTAATCCAACTCGAACGAGTTAGAAGCTTTCAGTCCTTTTTCGAGAAACGCTTGTCCTCTGGGATCGAAGAAACGAAGATGAGAGAACTCGTTATTATAGTTGCTAGCTTATCCCACGGAGAATATAATATCGAATTTACCGAACGGGGAGAAAATTTTCGGAAAGTCGAGCTTTCAGCTATTACATAGGTCGATAAGAAGAAAAGAGGGCTCTCTAGCTTTCGTCTACCACGAAAGACAGCTGAGAGAGAAACTTTTCAAAAGCTGGAAAACAAGCTGCTGCCTAACACACTGGTTTGGTATAAGAGTACTCGTAGATAGACAACCCCTCTCCCCTTCTTACGACAAAGTTTGCCAACATTTTCTAGTAGCGAAAGGCTAAAGACCATTCCATTACGACTTTCCTCATGTTTGGCGTCGATCGTCGTTATCTCTTAGTGCTTCTCTCTCTCTCTCTCTCTCTCTCTCTCTTTCTCTCTCTCCCTCTCTCCTGAGGTAAGTCTAATCGAGCAACTTTCCTCGAGAATGTATCCATCTTTAGATATATATATATTGCGGTTGTATAGCACCCTTCTCTCTCTCTCTTTCTCTCTCTTTGTCTGTCTCTGTCTCTCTCTTTCTATCTATTTATCTACTCATTAACCCTTTCTTTCCCTTTTTCTTTTCCCCTCATCTCTGCAGCTTCTCCCCTCTGGCCAACTTCCTCTTCCACCTCCCCTCCCGCCCCCCCCACCGCCACTATTATAATTCTCATATCCTTATCTTCAACATTTAACAGTACTAAACGAGAAATAGATTTACCACTCCGTGCTCGAACTCCAAAGAGAATGCAAGATATCTATAACGAACTTTCGTTTAAACTTTCCAACCGAGAAATTCGACGAAATAGTTTACGTTTAACTCGTATAAATAAGAAACATACCTATAACAATGGTATGTATACATACTATGGTTTCCTCGTTAATTCGACCTTTTATCATTTTGATTGTTATCAATACGAGAACGAAACTATTTCTCTTTGCCGAACGAAATTGTCTATACTTTTGTCTTAAATAACGAACGGCGCATAGTCTTGTTTGTACGCTCTCGTCCTGAGTACCGTTCGTTTTCACTTCATAACTCTCGAAGATATCTATCTTTCGAAACCGTTTCCTCTCATCAGAATGAAAGATAGATAAATAGAGAGGGAGAGAGAGAGAGAGAGAGAGATGGATAGGTAGATAGATACAGATAGATAGATAGATAGATAGATAGATAGATAGATAGAGAAAGAGAAAGGGAGAGAAGAGTCGCAATGTAACCAGTGGAACTTACAATGGTAAAATTAAAGGTCTACTTCATCATTGAGAGATAGAGAGATAGAGAGACAGAGAGAAAGAGAAAGAGAGATCTCTCGAGCTTAGCCAACGAACTGAGAGGTAAATGACCGTGTTTGTGCTTCTAGAAGATTTCCTCGGCTCGATAAGCAGTTCGCATTAACTCTCGTACCTTTCTATTCTCTTCCCTCTTCTAAACTACTTCCGAGATCAATTAAAGAAAGTTCAGAGAGAAAGAGAGAGAGAGAGGGAGAGAGAGAGAGAGTTCATACCATCAAAAATAATTTTCTATTGTGGGTCCCTCAGTCTGGAACGAAAGGTGAGTCTTAGAATTAAAAAATTTAATTTTTTTCTTGGCTTTTCTTTCTCTCTCTCTCTCTCTCTCTCTCTCTCTCTCTTTCTCTCTCTGTTTTTCTCTATTCCGCTTATATCTTTATATCTTTGTAAATATTTCTTTAATATCCTTTATGACGTTCTTCTATTATTATTATTATTATTATTATTATTATTATTGTTGTTGTTGTTGTTGTTACTCTTGTTATCATTATTATTTGCTTAGTTTATCCTAATTTCTATTGTTAAAATTACATCACCTTTGTTTTATTTTTTGTGTTGTTTCGTTCTTTACACACACTCATGCATATATGTATATGTATGTGTTTAATCATTTTAATATATATATATATACGTATAAAGAGAGAGAGAGAGAGAGAGAGAGAGAGAAAGAATGAGTATAGTATAGCACTATATGCAATAAATGTGATTTTTGTCTTTCCCTCTTTCTTTCTCTCTTGTCACTCGTAAGAACCACTCCTTTCTTTTCTTTTCTTCTCTTTTCTTCCCCTTTCGAGAGCATCGTTATTTCCATCCTGTCCTTCCATCCTTGAAATTTGGAGAACACTCGAGGAAAAAGTACGACGGGACGACGAAAGAGAAAAGAAAAGGCAAGATAAAAGAAAGGAGAAGAAAAGAGACAAAACGAGAAAGCAAGGGAAACGGGGTTGGTAAGGTAGAAGGGGGAGAAAGGGTGGGGATAGGTGGTTGACGAGAGGAAGGAAAGAGAAAATGGTCTTCGAAGAAAAAAAATCTATGAACTTGTTATGGGATCCTCCGGATATACCATTGTTCTCGCGGACGTTTCAACGATAATTGGATTATATTCGGGGATCTTACGGAAATCCTCTTATAATTTTTATAATTGATTCTCGCGATCGACGAGAAACTTTTTCGGAGTGAAAGAAAAGAAAAGAAAAGAAAAGGAAAGGAAAGAAAAGAAAAGAAAAGAAAAAAAAAAGAAAATAGAAAAAGAGAAAAGAAAAAAAGAGAAAGGAAAAAAAAAGAAAAGAAAATAGAAAAAGAAAAATATCGTTGGACATTTTTTTTTTTTTTTTTTTTCGTTACACGTACAATACATAAAGGATCGTCAAGTCTATTATAGTGATCTATCTCTTAGATCCATATCTACCTTTTTTTTTTATTTTTATCGCTTTTGTCCTTTCAGATATCGAGAACAGGGTAAGAAAGAAAAGGGAAAAGGAATCTTTTTTATAGAAGATAGCTCGAAGGATGGCCAACATTTTTAACGAGAGAATCGAGCCATCTATAACCCGTAACATCCTTGAACCAATTCTTTTCCAACTCTTTTCCTTTTTTTCTTTTTTTTTTTTTCTTTCTTCATCCTTTTTTTTCTTCTTCTTCTTCTTCTTCTCTTTTACCGATCTTATATATCTCAGGGCATCGATAATCTTCTCGTCTTTTCGTTATGCGAGAAAACGATCCGTTCTAACTCTCCATCCGTTTCCTTCGATTTTTCTTCTCGTGATATCTCGAAGTCGCAAGAAAGATGCATCGACATATCAAAATTATTCCTACGTATATATATATATATATATATATATATATATACATGTGTGTGTGCGTATGTATATATACTTGTATGATATACAGATATATATATATATTTCGAAGAGGCATCGAGAAACGATTTTTAAAGAGAAAGAAACTCTTCGGGATACGTCTACTTACCCTGCAGAAACTGGTGATTGAGGAGATCTGAAACAGAAAGCGAAAAAGAATCAATCGAGAGTACGTGGGTATGAATTTTATTTCTATCGAAGTGATCTTTTTGCTCGGAAAAAAAAGAGAAACAAAAAAAAAAAGAAAAAAAAAAAGAAAAAGAAAAAGAATAAAAAAGTCTTGACACGTGAAATAAGGAACCCGTCTGATCGATCAGACTTGAAGAACTCATATTTCGAACTTAACAAATTTTATTCAACTCTTCAAACTCTCTTCTCCTTATCATTATCATCATCATCATCATCATCATCATCATCATCATCATCATCATCATTATTATTGTTATTATTATTTTTTTATATTTGCGATTATCATATTATAATTAGATTTCGAACGGAAAGAATAGAAGAAAGTAATGGAGAAAGTAATTAAAGGGACTTTATTTACTTACTGCTAATCATGCACCCAAAGTTTTTTTTCTTCCTAACTTAATATATTCAACTAATTAGTCACGAAGAATTCTCGTTTCACCCTTTGTTCCCATCTTTCGAACTCATGGACCATAAAAACTCATTATTTTCATTGAATTCAAAGTTCAATTCTCATGTCACCTTCGAATAGAAATTAAATGATAATTATCCCAATAGGATTCTGAAGCTTTTTCTTTTGTTTTCTGTTCCTTTTTCTTTTTTTTTTTTTTTGTTTTTTTTTTGTTTTTTTTCTTTTTCTTTTCATTAATCGACAACCGCAATTACACGTATTTATCATTAATTTTTATGATAACGATGAATGACCGCCGAAACAATAGAAAATATATTTACGTGCGAGTCGTTGGCCAACAAAGAAGTGCTTTTTTTCTTTTTTATATATTATTTATATATATATATATATATATATATATATATATATATATAAATATTAACGAGAGATAGAATTAAAAATTTGTATAAAATTGAATAACATCAAATAATGTTAGATCTTCTATTTTTACGTGATCCATCGTATAAATTTCTATATTAATTCGGAGTAATGATAAAGTTTATCCTCGAAAATCGATGTAAACGATATAGTTTTAATTCGATATTACTTCGACTTAGACCAATCATTATTCATTAAACTTTTTCATCAAAGTGATTAATACTTCGATACAATTATCTAATGAGAAATCAATGAAATCAGACTTATAGACTCGTTACAGTATAATATTTTACGAATGACGTTTGATCGTTTCAAAATGTAATGTCGAAGGTTAAATAGATTAAAAAAGAAAAAAACCAAAAAAAAAAAAAGAAAAAATACACCATTATGGCATTAAATGAATTCTATGTATCAATGTAATGAACAATGTTAATTGTACATTCGTTAAATCGAAATTTTCGTTTTAAGTGGAAATTTAAGGTTTAAACAGGATGATAGGACGATCGTTCCGCTTTATAAGCTTTCGATAGGCTTCTGATATGAGAATAGAGAACGGAATAGGACGCATCTACTCGGACGAAGCCGATGTCAATAGCACGGCAGGTTAGTCTGGTGTCCTCGTTGTTTGCCTGCGATCTACTATCTGCCTAATAGGAGTCTGAGCTTAGTACGAAGTCCGATGGACTTGCATAAGCATGAGCTTATTAACGGCATCGAGTCAATGAACTTTGGTTCTCGAATAATTCTGTCAATACGGTTGGTTACCGAAACGATCGACAACACGAAATTATCACCTATGTATATGTACGTATATGAGTATGCATGTCTATTATAATACGTCCAATCCTTTAGGAAATAATAAATGGGAGTTAATTACACGTACATATACCATTACTATCTTTAAATAGTGATTTATTAAAAAAAAGAAAAAAAAAATCAACGAAAATAATAACTAAGATAATAATAATAAACTAGTGAAAAAATAATTTTAATAGATCTTAAAATTATCTACGAATATATTATTTCGTGAAAATGAACGCGAGACGTTCTTCTCGTATTAATTTTATTTTTCATCTTTTCTCGTTCAGACATTCAATTGAAATCAAATCAAATCAAATTCGATTCGAGTAATTGTATTCGAATTGATTCGATAATTAATGGGATTAAAAAGTTATCGTTTGGACGTACTATTGATTTATTTAAAATGATCTCAGTAGATCGATATCACGGTATAGAAAGAGAAACATTCTCAAGTAGTATTCTCCTTGCGTTTTCTTTCAGGACGTCGAGAAGAGCAAAGAAATGTGTATACGTTCGAGAACACGCAAGGAAGGAAGAAGAGTCCTCTCGCATGTCACTGAATTGCTATAGTATGTATTCACGTGTTCTTTTTCTTTGCCTTCTGCATTTTTCCATTTCTTCTTCTTCCTCTTTCTTCTCTTTTTCTTCTTTATCTATTTCTTCTTTCTACCATCTCTTCCTTCTCCTCTTTCGCTTTCTTATTTACGCTATGAAAAGCTCGCCGACCGGAAGTAACGGCTCGTATTCGTACACGAGAAAAGTGTACATATATATACATATATATATATATATATATATACAAACATATATTGTATGATACTCTGTTAAGGATATTTTTTAAAAGTCTTATATATGCGAAGTGTTTTGTGATTGATGATAAAATTTTTTTTTATGAAAACGATAGTGTCATTTAAACTAGAAAAAGAACTGTCGAAATTGTCGAATAAGATTTTCTTATTTCTTATTTCTTGACTTTGAATAATGTTCAATAGTAAACATTCACCGTCTCTAAATAAAGAACAAAGTTATACGCAGACATATACGTAGTAGGTAGGTAAATAAGTAAATAAGTAAGTAAGTAAGTAAGTAACTAAGTAAGTAAGTAAGTATATTATATCATAGAATAGTACAGAAAATATTTCGTTTTATTTATAAAATCTGACTAGGTAAAATACAAAGACAATAAAGAGATTTTCTCTATATCGTAATCGATATATATATATATATATATATATATATATTCGTCTTATAATAGTCAATCTAGGATAATATCGACATAACTCGATCGTAAATTTTTTAACTATCGACTTATTTCATAGAATTTAAAAATTTCCGATAGTAAATGTAATTGTTTATAGGGCATATACATACATATATATATATATATATATATATATATATATATACATACATATATATGGGGCTTAGCCGTAGTTGAAGCCTGACTATAAATCAAGATTTCGATTCGTCGTCGTTCGGTTAGGTCACCTATGACTTTTCTATGCATCGATAGGAACTAGTCGACTTTACGCCAACCGATAGGACTTTCAGGCCCTCCTCCTCTTCCTCTTCTCTTCGTCTTCCTCCCTCCTATCCTTCCATCCTTCCATCCTTCCTCTTCCCCCTCCTACTCCTCCACCCTTTTCCCACCCCTTTAAGCTCACGACATCGTTCGCCTCGTGGAAACTCGCGAATACCAGGAATTCTCTATCGAACTGTGCCATCTCGTGCGTCCGTTCCTCGTAAAACTTCCTCGTCAAGTTCGACCTTTGAAAAATTCCTTTAACCTTCCACTTCTCTCTCACCGCATAGTCCCAACCTTTTCCTCTCTTACTCCTCATCCGGCGTTAATACAAACTCCTCGTTCCACCTTTTCCACTATCCCTATAGCATTCCTCCCTACTGTATTTGCTCACCTTCGCTCATCACTCTACGCTAGTACGAGTTATTTATTATTATGAAAATCGTCGAGTTCCAGTTTAAAATATATCAATTAAGAAGGAATTATTATTATTATTATTATTATTATTATTATTATTATTATCATTGTTATTATTATTATTATTATTATTATTATTATTATTATTATTGTTGTCGTCATCGTCGTTGTTGTTATTATTTTTCTCATCATCGTAATCAACGTAGTTTCTTCTTATAACGTTCTCGTTTGTTTTGAGTTTGATCCGATCAACAAAATTCGGCCTTCAAACGGAAATCCTGGCCGACATTGAGGTAGAGTAAACGTTCAAAGCAGAACTGAATTTGCATGTTTCGCGGAAGTACCGACTGCTTACATCAGCCCCCGTACTCGACTAAATCCAGCCAACCTACTCGGGGACGCATTGCTGTAATTTAATGCGCCGCACTTGGTGGTAACCTTCGTTGACGAACGCCGAGTTAACGTGAAAGTTCTCTTATGCAAAATCATGAGATTTCTCTATCTCTATCTCTCTCTCTCTCTCTCTCTCTCTCTCTCTCTCTCTCTCTCTCTCTTTCATTCTTTGTCTCTCCATCTCTGTCTTTCTCTTGTTCAATTTGTTTAAAACTATCTCATCTTTGTTATTGCTTTTCATATTTATCGATTCGTCGACAGTACCTTATAACAATGTATCTTGTGATTGCATTTTCATAATACAATACAATTTAATATGTTTTGCATGTATACCTAATTGTTTCTTTGTAAATAGAAAAAAGAAAAAATATACATATACATATAAAGAAATTTATTTCATATTTTTTAATTTTATTAATATAAAATGAGTTTAATTTTAATATATTAAGATGTAAAAGAAAATATTTCAAAAAACGTTTTTCAAGCGCAATCTGCATAATTGATTTTACCATTGTTACCACATTTCGACGTTTCAATTTCGACGATTTTTGTTTCGATGAGAAAGCATAAAACTTTATAATGTTCGACGTTTTTAATCGATTACGTTCTTCGGACTGAATTCATCGTGAAAATGTTTCCAGGCCGTGTAGGGTAACCTTTTACCAATCATAAATGAAGTTACTACGAACGAGGTAATCAAGCGGTAGTTCGAGTAATTTTGATAAAAGGTCAATTTTAATGATCGCGTTATTAGATAATAATACAAATCTCTCTTTTCTTCCTTCTCTCTCTCCCTCTCTCTCTCTCTCTCTCTCTTTTTTTCTTTCTTTCTCTCGACTAACTAATTTTTATTAAATTGACTTTGAAGGAGTTAATATTTTTTCTTTGAATTTTTATGAACTTATTTACTATATACTGTACTTGTTCAAATCGTAAAGTCATAAAATTTCCCAAGAGTAACCATAAAAACCATTCGTTTAAAATT